CCACAACTTGACCTGACGTCCGTGGGTCAATGCGAGTGCCGGCCGATGTGTGACAGTTGGGTTGGCCGCCAAAGAAAATAACATCCACTGCCTGACAGGTGATGTGGAAATAAGAGGAGGGCACTAGAGGTAGTTTGGCAAGAGGCAAAATGCTGCTCCTTGCCAGATTCATCCCTAGCTTGAGCGGTAGTCTATGTGCCTGCCCTGCCGCCGGGTTGTGAGTTGTGATGATGCTGTCGCTGGCGAGGGTCTTGAGTCAAAGGCAGCTCATGGCCATGCGTACGGGAGAAGAGCACGAGGTCTGATGCCGAAGTTCTCGTGCTGACCGGGGGAGCTAGGGAGAGAAAGAAAGAAGTGACAAGTGGAGAAAGGGGCTGAACAGACTTGATTTGGCAGCACAGTTGGCAGACGGGCTAAAAATACGAAGCAGTTTGCTCGTCTGCATCACAAGCAACCTGGAACTCACAGAGGAAGGGGTCGAAGTATCCTGCGAGAAGACGCGTACGTTTTCTTCAGCTTCCAGGTTTTTCCAGGCACGCACGTCATCGATGCTCACAACTGATGATTGAAGCCATTCTGTAAATGTCGATACCTCAAGAACGAGTGCTCGTCTCACCTGTGTTTACTTGCCTGTCTATCTAGGTACCTACTACCTTGGGCAGATGCCGAAGAGGGCCACCCCAGGATACACGCATCATACGACTTTCATCCCAGAGGGATAAACCCAGCGTGTAAAGTACATGTAAGCTACCTACCTAGGTACCACCTACCTAGACAAGGCGGGCCAGAGAGGGAGAGGGAGAGAACTACGCAAAGAGGGACCGGCACGGCAGGAAGTGTCACTCGTTAGCCCGACAGCCCGGCCAGGTGCAATGGGAACATCCTAATAAAGTCCCACAAGCATCCCAGCTTGAGACTAACCACCTAGGCCCTCGTGCAAGCACTTGGGCATGCACCTCCAAGGTACCTAAGGTGCCTAGGAACCCAAGTGGAAAGGCACGTTAGGTCGAAACAAAAAAAAAGCCTCCAGTTGCCAGTGTCAAGTTCCAGGGGCGTGTTGTGTATCCGGCATCTGTCCCCGTCATCCAATGTTGGCACCAGCTGGGTGTCGTGCGCCTGTGCCAACCCTCTGAGCTCGGAGCGCGTCTCCACCCTGCACGTAGCGGCGCCATCAGGTCATGGACATGTACGACGAAAGGTTGTTGGGTGGATTGGGGACTGGGGACTGGGGGCTGGGACTGTGCCCGGACCAAGCAACACTTGCCGCTGCAGGATACAACGCAAGTACCAAACTGAACTGTATGGCAACAAGGTGTGGTGAGGTAGGCACGAACCTGGACACGACCACTGCTTTCCTCACCTACCGGCCTCCTGGTGAGGCGCTCCTTCCAAACAACAACAGATTCACTGGGGGCGGCTTCATCGAACAAAAAGGCAGGAAGGTCCACCCGGTGGACGGGGGCTCAGGGTGCACGCATCCCGGTCGCTACATGGACAGCGGGGAGATGCTGCTGAGTGGTCGTTATGTCAGCGCTGCAGCAGCCGTCCTGCATTCCGTGCGCTACGCCTCGTCCCAGTCCGGCCATTCTTCAACCTCAGTTTTCTCCCACTATCTTTCCTCCGGCCGGGTCGAGATCCTCCAGCTAAGTAGAGATCCTCCGACTAAATGAAACTTCTCCGGTCCCTGGCCCAGTTGTCAGTCAGACCTCTCTGCTCAGCCCATATGTCCGTCGGGACATTGTACCACGCCTGCGCTCGACGTGGCGCGAGCGGCATTTACCCATCCCTGACAGGAACACGGGCCTAGGGCTTTCACTAACGACATGTTGATCCTTGGGTTCCCTGCATCCATTCCACGGGGCCCTTCCACCCACTCGTCGCCCCGCCAAGCCAAGGGTGGATGCTCCTGGTACTGACGCTACTGCGACTTGCGCGTTTCTTGCTTCTTCTTCTTCACCGTTCCCCAGCCTGACCAACCATGCGGCCCTAGCTTCAGCCTGAATCTGTGGTTCGTTCTTTGAGCCCCTGGTGTCTGGCCCCCGGTCCCCGGTCCCCTGACGCGCCCCCGGCTCCTGGTCGACGTTGTATCGAGTGACAGGTAGGGCCAGTTCAGTTCAGCTCAGCCTCCCCCGTCCATGTGCGATAAACGTGGTGGAATCAACCGGCTGGAGGCACATGTGGGAGGCAAGGCGGTGGTGCATTGCTGACATGTCGCCAGCCCCCCCCCCTAGATCCGACGACTACGTGACGACGCACGAGTCGCATCAACGCAACAGCGAACAATCACGGGGCGCGACTTGTATCTTCATGACGCATAACGGTCGGCGAGATCCCCCAATGCCTCCCTCCAATGCCACGCCACACTCGAACCCTCCTCATCTCTTTCCCCAAGCTGCCACCCCTGCCCTCCCGCTCCCACGATCGATCCCCTAGGATGGATGGATGGATGGATCCCAGTCTCTGGGCAGACCACTGCTTTCCCGTACTGGCGCATTGGCCCGCCTGGTTTTCCAGCTGCCCATCCCATCTCCACTCAAATAAGACATCCCCGTTTATTTACCAGTCTCATGGAAGCCGGATGCGGTGCTGGTCGTCTCGTGCCTCGACAAGTATCGATCACACATCTCCGGTGTTGATTCTTTCGACGCTAGGGCTTTTTGCCATTGGCTTTTCGCATCTTCTAGGCCTCTCTCTCTCCACGCCAGCCGCTTGTCATCGGCCTTGCCACGCCTGGCAGTCTGCCAGGCTCCCTCAACTTTCTGCCCGCCAGGCCTGCTACCGCACAGGCTACCACAGACTCTAAGGGAGCACCAGGCGCCTTGCTGTGGCCGATCCCTCAACGATGGACGCCTTCTCTGCACTGGTCCCGAAACCCGGGAGGTACGTACATTGGGTCTAGAGTGCCCTGTCAGTCAACGAAGCAGGCAACCTTCACTTTCGGGAAACGCCACCGGGCTGGTTGCAGCTAGCTTGGGGGTGATCAAACTCGTGGCATCAAAAGAGCTTTGAACGGAGGACCTTCCGGACTGAACTGACCCTTGCTGCCATCTCCCCTAGTCTGGCCTGGTCTTGTACCTGTAGTCCCATCTTCGAGTCTGGGCAGTCAGGCCCGTCTGACCTGTCCGGGAACCCAATGACCTGACTGGGGGCCCATTTCTGCATGGTACATCACACTCCATGTGCGTGTATCTGATATCAACCTTGTCATTCCAGTCGTCATACGGCACACCTTCCGCCCAAACGCCTCATCCATTCTCGGGCCCTTGCTTCTACTCTGTC